CCCTTGGCTCCTGGCACTCTTTGCTGCGGTTGCCATATCCCATGTTTCCACCCTGAAAACCCAGCTCCTCTGTCCTCTGGGGGCATGGCCTATCCTAGAGGGAGTCAGCATTTCCGAACAAGCTATTTCCTGCTCCAAAGAGTAAATAACCTCCTGCCGGGGTTCCCTCCACAGGGTGAGTGAAGATGTGTCTCTCATCTCTGTGGCAGCCACCCAGCAAAGGACAGTGGCACAGGCTGGTGTGGAGCAGAGGGCTCACGCTGGGCCCATGTCTGTGCTGAGCTGGAGCTTTTACGGCTCTTGTTCACTGGCCTAGTCACTAAAAGCTCCCAAGCCTTGTGGCACCCATCTCACCTCTGGCTTTGGTGCATGCCCGTGTCAGACCTGGGCTCCCTGCAGCCTCGAAGGAGCCAGCCGTGGCTTCACAACCTCCAAGCTTGGTGGGACAAGGAGAAGGGATTCTCCTGGGGCAGAGCAGTGTAGGCAAATCTCTCTTTGCAGACAGCAAACTTGCCGTGAGGAGAGCTCTCTGCCCACAGGGCTGGCATGGAGCAGAGGTGGGGAGAAACACGGCCTGTATGGCATCTCCCCGAGGCAGCACGGCCTGGCCGGCCATGCCAAGCAGCTTCTGTGGCAGGGTTTGTGGGGGGGGGGGGGGGGGGGAGTCGGCTGTCACATCCCCACTGCAACACTGCAAGCTTTGACCATCCAATATGGATTAATTGCAACCAGTTTAATTTTGTGTCTGTAAATTAAGCTGTTTGACGATTAAGCCAGTGATACAAAGAGAATTCCAGGAGTGAGGAGGACATTAACATGCTAATAGACCTTGCTAGTAGAAGGTTTACTTAGAAACATCCCAGGGGGCAGATGACAATTAACATCCTAAGAGACTCTTCTGGAAAGAGGATGCTAATTCAGACCTGCTGAGGAGAAGGGAGAGATTCTTCATATAGATAATTAATTATTATTCTATGTAGCCCCACAACCTCCCATTCAAGAATGTCTGAGATGCACTAGGACTGGTGAGTTGCAGGAGGTGAAACGATGACAGTGACAATACCTAAAGTCTTCGACAGATTCGGCTTGGCCTGGTGAGACCCATGGTTAGAGAGAAGCTGGTAAATGTCTCAGTAGGGCCTATCCTCCGGAGCTCCAGTTCCTAAAGGACTCGTGCTGACCTGAAGAAACCAGCCATTCCCTGCCTGCAGCTCTGCGGTCCTGGGCCAACCTTAGCGCAACCTCCTGGGAAACACACAGGCGCTGCACATCTGCATTTGCTGACAGCACCAGCTGGGCCCGCGTGAAGCTCTGAAGGCTGGCAAGGGCCAAGGGTCCGCAAAGACTGAGGGTGCTGCTTCCCCAAAGGCTTAAGCTGTGCAAGAACAAGGTTGCTGTTGCCCCTAAGATCTTCCACCTTACAGCTTTTACTGGCCCCTCGGGCTACCTCACTGGGGGTGGGGTGGGCTTTTCATGGTCTTAACCGTCACAGCAATCTTTGCAAGCCTTATACTACTGACCGACTTTTAGACCCTGAATTGGAAAGACGGTGGAATCAGAGGAAACGTGAAGACCCATTACCATTCAGGTTATGTTCTGAAATGCCTTCCTGCCCCAAATAAATACTTGGAAGAGGACACCGAGCCCACCCACTCTGCTGTGTACAGCCAGTGCAAAATAGGAAGAGATTACACAAGATTTGGGATCAGGGACTTAAAATACAATGACCTTTGTGATAGCCATACATAGAGAACTTAATACCGCTCATAACCTTGACACTCTCTGGTATAATGCTTGAAGGGATTTTTCCACCACTGTTAAAACTGTGCACGTGCACTAACAGAACTACTTTTAAATGCAAACTCTGTCAGTAGCATTGCAGCTTGGCTACCGTGACTTGTCAAATACATTGTAATGGCTTTTCCACAGAAGACAGGAGATCACAGGGGCCAGCTAATCTGCCTGACAAACTGCAAATATATAAACGTATGTATGTGTGTGCGCTCACTCAATTTACTCCTGAGGGTTCTTGTTAATCCACCACACTCAGCTGCAGATACTAAATACTGTTTTTCATCTGCGTTTGGAGCTAACTCATACCTAAGTGTGAGCTGTCAGAGGGGGAGTTTTCCCCAGTACCAGCTGCAAAGGGAGGGAGCTGGCCTCTTTCCTCTGCGTTGGATTATCTAACCTCCCAGAGGTTGTTTCTCTCTCTTCTCCTGGCTGTTACAACTACGTGGAACATGATGTAAAGAGTGAAAAAATCCCAGAGCGGGGCTAGTTGTGTACTCACGCTCACACCACCGGACTCAGCACCGCCCGCTCCCTCGGTGCCAGCTATCCCTGCTGGCAAGGCCACGCTTCTGGGGCCATGGCAGGTGGCCTCAACCTCAGCTGCTCTCCTGTGCCTGCAGTCATCTTCTTGCGCCTCCCAGGTGCTTGTTCCCCTCCTGCCTAAATCTATGCTGGGGGCCTGGCTAGGGCCGGGCCTAAGGACCTGCCTGCTCCAGGGGGGCTGGGCCTAGGGACC